AAAGGGGGTAAGAAGAAAGCGAAAAGGCTGGTAGGTTCATGTCCTGACTCAGATGGAAGGGAGAGGAATGAAACACTGGGACTGTCTGTCTGCCTGGAGAGGCAGCCTGCGCAGAAAACAACACAGTTCACTAGCTTGCCTGGCTGTTGTTTCAGCAGTTAAGAAAGCAGCAGCAGACAACAAATAATATAAACAAGTGGCCTTATGTTCAAACAGCTGTGACATCAATGTAATTAATCCAATGACAAATTCCAGGTTGGTACCCACAGAAAAACAGGCAGGATTAAATGAAGGATACTTTCATGAAACATTTGACCATCATGTCCAAAAAAATGTGAAATACCTGCAGCCCGAGGATGTATTGCCAAAATAACTGCAAGGACACAACCAAACACTTCAGCATTAGCAGAAACAGTATACAGTGTGTACGGCAACTAGGGAAACTGGTGAATCATGGAAGTGCTCTGCCTCCATGGGTTTGAGAAGAATTGGACAGGACTTCTCAATAGATGGTTTCCTCTATGTCAAGAGAATACTGTCTATTACTGCAGAGAGGCCAGTTGCAACCCAATCCTCCAAGCTATAAATCTGAGTTCTAGATGGTACAGATATCCTTGCGGAGGATCAGTAAGTCTGAATGTTTTAAGAGGTGAGCATAATCCCATTGGAGAGGGGCAAATCTTGGATGTAAAACCATCAGGTCTCATTAGCAGAGTTCATCTATCACTCTGAATTTGGTTAAGAATGGGAAGATGTAGAGAATTGGTCTGCCCAACAGAATAGACATGCATCTCCCAGGGGCTAAGTCCCACCCTGCCCCTATTGCACAATCAAATACTGATTATTGCTCCTGGACAAAAAGATCATGGTTGGGGTTGCTTCAGTGTTGACAAATGGAGCACATCACCAAGCTACATAATTCCCCCTATGGAATGACACACTTGCATGATTGAATTTGTCCACTAAGACATGCCTTCCATGGCCATGTGAAATGCCACAAGGCAAAATATGCAGGAGGTACCCCAGTTCCACAGTGGAATGTAAGTGCAGCAATGATATTGATTTTGCTGTCCACTGTTGGATTGTCTGATACACTTTCAATGGTGCAATTGTGGAATTAACTTGCAAAAGTGTGTAGTATTACAAATGCTGCCAGAAACTCTAACCCAGTTATATGAATAATGACCTTGGTTGCCATTCAAAGATGCTGAATGTGAAGGGAAGGCAATGTGTCATCACATCTGCTTCATCAAATATCCCTAGTAATTATTTCAGATGGAGAAAGAGGGGTGTGTGTGTGTGTGTACATGAACAACATATTTCATAAAAGTGCATGTACATTAAGACAAGTTAAAAATAGGAGGATTGTTGAGAACAAAAATGGTCTGTAGAAGTTTGTCCAAATATTCTGCAATCCAAGTGGTCAATTTGTAATTTATCTATGTATATAATCAGTGAGGGTTTCAACACATGACCCAAGTACCGCAAGAATTCCTTCTTCTTCAGTCCTCATTGTGAAGATGATGATGAGGTTCAGAAATGGGATAAATGACCTTCCAAGGAGTTCTGACAGCTCTAGGAGTTCTGGTTGTAAGACTAGAGCTTAGCCAAGAGAGGGTTATTGGTATCACTAGGAGCTGATGGCAATTTATGCACATGAAACCCCCTAAACTGTTCTACCCATCCTGATCTAAGATATTAGCACTCTGCAGAAGCTCAGAGACCCACAATATCCACTCCTTTAGATACAGTTGGTAAAGAGGAGATGCTAAACCCTATATTTTAGCTATGAAAATGCAGACAGAAATTATAAGGTTTTTATTTTATGGCCAATAGAATGTTCAGAAAATAAATGGCAGAATATTAAAAACTAAACCTAATCTTATACAATATAGAATGATGAACATATGCTAGAACTATATAATATGACAGCCCTAAAGTTAACTGTATGGTTTAAAATTATGTCGTTGCTATGTGCGAAAGATTACATCCATAAGTTATGAATTTCTTTACAGAATGGGCTTGGTATATCTTCTTTGCGAGTCAGTTCCATCATGCAGAATGTATTTATTATCTGCAACAAAAAAAGGGCAGATACTTATTTTTAAATTCTGATGTCTTCAAT